TGGGATCAGCTGCAGCAGGCACAGCCTTCCTCAGCAAGACTTTTCCAGACTTTTCAACAGCTTGCGTCTTCCATCTATTTTTGGTTTTTCTTTTGCCCTGGTTTCCATAGTATCTGAATGCTTCATGCTCTTAAATATATCTGACACTCGCAACACCTTGGTGAAGTAGGAGGTACTAAGGCCCCTGCTCTATAGAGGTGCTGGGCCTGTAACAGCTCAGGGTTGTGTGGAAGATGTGGGGTGGAACTGTGAATCGAAATTAGGCTTTCCTAAATGCTGAATTCACCTTTCACTACAGATAGCAGGAGGGAAAAATATCTTTATTCATAAAACTGTACCTTAAAAAAATGTTGGAGGGCTCAGTGCTGTAGCTGCTTGGAGCAGGGGTGGAGATAGGTAGACTTTATGACTGAGGCATTCTCCTCTAATCCTGTGTTCAGCTATTCTCTATTCAAGTGTCACATTTCTTTCTTTCAAGTGAGAGAGAACATGAGGATACTAGACTGTGTTCCGAAGCCAGGTTGCTCATGCTGTAAGCTTATTCCTGTGGAATAATGTCTTAATATGGTGTTCAGAGACTAAATGTAATGGCAAGATAAAAGAACTTACAAAAAAGAAAGAGGTGAAAAAGAAGCAGATGGCGTAGGTATGAACTCAAGATGCTAGGGATGCTCCTTCCTTTTATTTTGTCCCTGTGCTGGGGTACCCAGGCTAAAGCATGTGACAGAAACAACCATCTCTCTGCATCATGCATGCTCCAGGAGTGCTTGGGGGCCAGAGAGAGAAACCAGATCAAATCAACAGAGCTTGGTATCTTTGCTGATTAAAAACAGGTCCAAACTGAACTTGATCAGCTCAATTGAATATTACATGGTTCTAGAGCTGATGAGTGGCCTCCTCTTAATTGGGAAAGGAGGGCAATGGTCCATTGGTTTCTGACTAGCTTGCTTTCAAGCGTTGGAAGAAACACTTTGCAAACAACTCAATTTTTTTGTGTAACAGGGAACATGGCTTTTCCCTTTTTTCCCCTTTTTCCCCTTTTTCCCCTTTT